AGAAAACCTTGGGTTCCCTAAATGATGTGTAATTAAAATTATTTTTAAAATCCTCCTTGACAGGCCGAGGCTTAGCCAAAATGTAAATGACATTAAAGAAGACAATGAATTTAATTTTATTTAATGTCCCTTTTTGCAGATCCTCATTTACATAGCATTTTTAACAAAAGCGTTGACCTTATAAACGCTGGCATTTGTACAGCTTCGCCGAGTTGGATTTAATCATGCTCGTGCAAGGCCATGAGGGAGGGAGCTTTAAGTTCTCCGCTTGGAGATGGAGTAGGAATAAAAACATCGGGACTGGTCAAATGTTTATCCACCCTGCTTCTGAAAACAACCTGACAAGAAGATGTAAGGGGCTAGGGAATAACCCGGTGCTGTTTGTAAGGCTTGGTAATAATCATACATAATCGTTTGGAAATATAGCTAATAAAAAATATAATGAGTGTTCAGCAAAATCGGCATTAGGCCCAAATTACATGATATTAATACTTGAACAGGTGCAGAAAGGAGCTTTAAATGAGGTAAATGAATAAATTGTCCCAGAGCACAACTGTGTGTGCTGACAAAAAGTCAATCCCATGAATAATTCAGCAAGCAGGACTGCCAGCAAAGGTCGGCTCTCTTTGACCTTTGTGACAGGAAGTGAAAGGAAACACTGTTGACTAAAAAAAGGAGAGAGAGGAGAGAGAGAGTAGGGAAGGAAAAAAGAAAAAGAAAACCTCCAGTCCTTTTGGGCTACCGTTCTGCAATCACTTTAAAGGTGTAAACTTAAAACACACAAATGAATCAAAGCATGGCTCTGGAAGGCTGAGAGGGAGCACAGAGCTAAAATCTCTGGTACTTACACCCTCGGACCAGAGACGGTGTGAAATCGCAGACAATGAGAGGTTAAGCAAATAATGTTTTTCTACAACCCAATGTCAATTATGTATAAAAATCTGAGGTCAGCTGAAAAGTATTTTCAGAGCCCACAGGGCTGAAATTCTGTAACAGCTGTTAAATATGACAAAACTTCATGCACGCCCCCCCCCAAAAGAAAAACTACAGCCATTCCAAACTCTGTATGAAAGAAAATAGGATAAACAGATGTCTGGCTCCCAGACAGGAAAGTAGGACAGACTTGGAATGATAAGTCTCCCAAACTCTATAGACTAATGCCAGATTTATTGGGGAGGGGGCACTGCCTGCTGCAGAGATGCCAGCGAGCAGGACGCCAGAGACAGTGCCATCTGGAACCGCCCTGCAGAGCATGCTCTCAGTTGCACACGGCCCATGGTGTGCAGCCAGCCTGAGTGGGCAGCCGCATTGCCCTGCTCCTGAGTCCTCCACAGGCTGCAACAGTTGGACCCTGTGTTTCAGTGCTCCCCAAGCTGAGCGAGGAAGGGGATGGTAAAGTGATGTGCCTTCCCCAGGCATTTGCAGAGCTCCTGAGGAAACAGACCCGGATGGCACAGGCGAATAATGTGAGCCCAAGTGTGGTTTTGGTTTAGCAGCTACGCCGACATCCTGTAATCACTTGCAGCCCTTGGAATGTACGGGTGAAACAGGAGAGATTTATCTGCTCATATTTGGGATATGTGGACAATGGGTGTTCCTAATGAAGACCATCTGCTTTTGTGTTTTCCCAGAAAACATTATTTCATGAGGAAAATAATACTCCCTTCCTCCTCAGCAATACCATAAAAATGCATGCATGTATATGTGAATGTGTATGCATTTGCATACATACACTTGCATATGTGAGGTGGCTTGGGTGTGTGTGTGTGTGTGTGTGTGTGTGTGTGTGTGTGTGTGGTATGAGGAGGTAGGCCTGCTTTCTTGCATCTGGCTCTTTGTAGGTCAATTCAGTGTATGCAGATATGCTCCTATGTTGTCCCTTATAGGCCATACCTTGACAATGGTATGTTCCTTCGCAACTTGGCAAGTTGCTAAATTATTTTAAATACATGGAACTATAAAAAAAAATGTTTCTCCAACAGTGTTTTATGTGGGAAAAAAAACCAGTCCACATAAGGAAAAGCTTCACAATAAATAAAAAGATTTCTAATGGGAGACATCCTTACTGCCCCCCCTTACTCTGAAGTGTCTTCCATGCCATTTGTAAGTATCTAATACTTCTGAAAGATAACTAAACTAAATTGTGTAATTAATTGATTTAAGGCATCAGGGCCTATAGAATGTGATTACCCTGCCAGAGCAGGGAGCTTACTTCCCTGTTCTCATAACACACAAAGCGGTCTCAACGTGTGGAAGAGCTTGGTGTGGGTTGGAGCAAACGTGGGTCCATTGATCTCAATTCAGGTTGGAATTATTGGTTTATATCCTCAGGACAAATATGCTTTATCTGGTCAGAACCTACTAAATGTATCCAAAGGCCATAAGGAGCTGGTGAAGCACACTGTATAGAAAGAATTCTTAAGCCAACTAACCAAGTGAGGACAGGGCTGGTGGGGACCTGTAAACTCACCGATCTGGTGGGACATTTTATTCTGCAATACTCAAGAGGAAACCCAGTCTAAAAACTCTACAGGAGCAACTAATTTTCAGAGGCAGTCCACACCCCACAGAAATGATCATCTCTAGGAAACTGAGACACATCTCTGTTGCAAATGACCATACTGCTCCAAAGAAATCGCCTGCTGAAGATGAGTCTCTCTCTTTGATTAACACAAGCTGTCCTAGCAAGCACTAAATTCATTTTTTCCTCTCCTAGAAATATGCCTTAAACTGGAGATAGTGCCAATACCACAATCAGTTCACAGGGATTTACAGCAAGCAGGAAAATGCTACTAGTATTTTGTCATTAAAAATGCTAAAAATGCACACTGTGTTTGTCAGCACATAAAACTATCCTTACCTTAAAATCCCTAACATGGAAGGTGATTAAAAATCCTATAAAATTGTCATATCTTTGAATTTAGAAGCAGAGCAGATTTTTCATCAATAATTAAGACCTCCAAAGCATTTATGCCAAGCGTAAATGGAGCTTCAATCCTCCTTATTCAAATAAACATGGTAAACCCATTAACCAAATGTTTTTACATTTTTCCCTTCCTCTTGCACTTCTAGAATATCAATGATCACATACTTCTCTTAGGTTATAAAGGTATGAGTGGTCTTTGCATATATTTTAATTAAACAAGTATAAGAAAGACCCCCTCAAAAGAGAATTAAAGAGTAAATTTTGTATATCAGAAGAAAGCACACCCATCATGTGATAAAAAACTGAGCCTTGGATGTTATTCGATATCAATGTTCAATAAGTGATTGCACACCAAACAAATCCAAAGTGCTTTTGAAGGGAAAATCACTGTCTACAATGTGAGTCAAACCAACATGGCCTCTCCACCATCATGGCATATTTCTTTTAAGTCTTGATTTAAAAACAAACCACATTTAAAATCTCCAAGTGGAGAGATGAAGCATATTCACAATCTCACATTAAAGGCTAATATGGGCTGCTTTTCAAGCATCTTCCACTCAGACAAGGTTCCAATGGCTGTTTAGTACACTTTCAGCCCATCCAAAATAATAATAAAATAAAATAAGTTCCATCTCAAGACAACAACCCAAAGCTGTATGACTTCCATAGCCAGAACACTGAAACAAATATAATTACATTGATTTCTGTAGCCTCAGTTTTGTAAAGTGTTGAACTTGTTCTCAACTGCCTGAGTGACGGCCACAACTGGTCAGCCCTATTTGATTACTAATAAGAGAGCTGTCCCTTCTGTCAGATACCGAACATTCTCCACTAAGCAAACAGCTATTCCAGCTAGTTAAACATTAGCAATGCTCCCCACCGGTGCCGCAGACTTCTTTAGGCTTAACTCGTGGGGTTTTCCGGGTTTAATTTTTCAGACCCTGGACAGCAAAGTTCATGATCAAAAGATAACTTTGTAATGAAAGCTGCTGAAACTCAACCCCTCTTCAAAACAGTCTAACCCTCTGCCTCACAAAACTGGTGTCATATATACACGTCTAACATTTATTCGATTTGGGTACCAATTTCAAAATCTGCAGTCAATCACACACTGGGCCCCTTGCTGCTCCCCATTGTTGGGAAGAAAGAAATCTCCTGTCCTCCTCAGAATAGCCTGGGTGAGTCAGGAGGGGAGGATGGCAGTGTTTTTGTTGTTTCCACTAAGGCAATGCCAAGTGCACATTAGCACCATTAGGACTAATGATTGGTATCTTAAAAGGATGCCACGTTGCCCAAGGAACATGATAAATGGCAAGATGAGGAACAGCAAACCTAAAGAATGCATATAGCTAATCTAGTTATGGAAATTAATGTTGGAAATGTAACCAGCATGTGTAATTAGTTTCAATTATAACAACTTTGGTTTGTTAGTTACATATTTGCTACTTGACATAAAACGACAGCCACAATTGGAAAAAAATTAGGAGACATTTTGCAACTAATTGAGAGCAGATTAAATTCATTCTACCACTGGGCGATGATTGCAAGAGCACCACCACCCAAGCTTCAACTTCAATGACCATCCAAGATAAAAAATAAATAAATAAATAAATAAATAAATAAATAAATAAATAATGCATGCAAGAGCACCACCACCCAAGCTTCAACTTCAATGACCATCCAAGATAATAAATAAATAAATAAATAAATAAATAAATAAATAATGCAAAAAAGAAAGACTTGTTAACAAATTAGCAGAAAGCATTTTATGACATATCTCTGGGTTTAAAGCCAGAGACTCTCTAGGCATAAAGTGCTCCTCACAGTGAGAGCAGTGGCAGATGAAACTGCTTCCCTTGACAACTCGCAAGCAATTACTGAATCCCCACAGAGCGAGCCACCGGGTTTCCACGTCAACCCACCTGTGCATGATAACACACGCGGACAAATGGTGCAGTGCACAAGATGAGCCCAACACCAGCCTCAAAGCTAAGGAGCCACTGGAAACCAAGCAAGGCAGAGAGTTTTGCTTGTTGCTACCATTTTGTTTTGAAAATAAAGAAGTCATCCTTACCTGTCAATGATTACAGGGTCTGAGGGCGTCTCGTTTCTATTGCCACAACTCTTCTTGTCACAGCACCGGCTGTGGGGCAATTGCAAACATGGCTTTTAGTATTCATCTCAGCTTCCTCTGTCCGACTTGTAACTTTTTTTTTCAAAGTCTGACAATGAAGCGGTAGGAGTCAAGAAAATAGTTTTCCTACTTAGGCAGCTTGACAAATTTCAACCTAGTGAGTTCACATGCTCTTCAGCTAAACTTCTGTTGTAACTTTCTGCCAGAAGGAGAGGAGTTAAACACATCTATTAATACTAGCAGGGTAGCCAGAGCTCCTATACAAATTATGATGCTAAAATGCAGAAAACATGCTGCTGGTGTTTGTCTTTGCAATGAACTGAGGAGAAAAGGCTGGAGGCTGGGGAATAACTTTTCACAGCTTCAGCTTTTGTTTACCTCCAATTGTCAAGCTGTTACTTCTGGAAAAGATGCAAGATGCCACCTCTAACCAATATTTCTTTGGGGCATTTATTAATTATAAGCACAAAAGCATGCATCAATCTATCACAAACGTCTATTGTCGCTTCTTTAAGCCTACCTTAACTCTGTTATTGAAACTTTAATTAAGGCAGAAACGAAACAAAAATGTTATGCTTCTCGCATTTTAAAAAAGCATACTTGTATAATGGTTACATGTCTAAATTAGCTAAATTAACACCATATGGTAGGCAAAGTATATAAAGCCTTTTAAAGCTGACAGCTAAAGTGATTAAAGAAAGTCTACAGTCTTCCACTTAGAGCTTAAATCACATCTGTGCGCTTTCTATGTTAATTGCTGTACATGCAGAAGTGGATAATAAAGAAATTCCACTTTATTGGTTGTAATTTATATTTATTACCTGATATGAGAAAAAGTCAGCTTTTGTATATTGGTGCTGTAACAATACCTCTGCTCAGAAGTGGCATTCAGGCAACAGGCACCATAGCCTAGGAGAGTATGCCCCTCAGAGTACGGGGCCTGCTACTGTAGGCTGCAAGCCTGCACAACCTTTCCTTATTATTCCTTGCAACTATATTTCACATGCCACACATACAAAGTCAATGATGCGTTTTTATTCGCCATGTAGGGGCGAAACTCTTGTGGTAGTTAGAAAAAAAACAGGTGGGAAATTGCTCTTCTGACAGAGATCTCAAGTAACGGCACGCTATCTAACAACAATATGAACGATGCATCGCTGCTCTAGGGAAGAGGTTAACTGACAGAATCACAATCCAATTCTCACATACACGAGCTCTGTAATAAGTACAAAAGGCTTTCCTTTTTATCAATAACAGACAATTGTACGTCTCCGGATGCGAGCGTCGGAGAAGGAAGTAGTCAAATGAGTCCCAGTGAACTCTGACTCCTGCGCGAGGACAGAGGCATCCCCTGGTCTGTTTTCTTTCTTTCTCTCTTTCTTTCTTTTTTTTTAACTATATTGCACGACGCGGCCAATATATTAATCCGCTCGGCTGAGCAGCGGGTCGCACTGACCATCATCACTGATGGGGAAATGAGGTCGGACGCTGCTTTGGCCCAGCCTGGGGCCTCCGGCCTACTAGGTTTCACTGGATGCCCTCTCTCCCGCAGTTGGGTGGGGTGACAGGCACCTGCAAGCGTCCCTGCGTAGACTCGACTGGCGCCGGGGCCGCCCGCCTCCCAGGGCTCACCTGCACATGATCTCATGGGTCAGCAGCACGCGGCACATCTCCGGGTTCTTGTCCTGGCCTTCATAAACGATGGCCTGCGTGGGGGACAAGAAGAGGGGTCATGCCAAGACCAGGGGTCACGCAGAGCCTGCGGCTTCGGCGCCAAACCACCATGGGCACTGCAGGCCTTGCGGGTGGCAGGTGCACAGCCCCTGAGGGGAGGCGACCGGTATAACAGACCACCCTCCCACCCAGCCACCCTAGGCACGGAGCCAGGCCTCAGAGGCCTCGCACTGCCTGCTTGCCGAATTCTTCCCATGAGCGCACGCCGGGCCTGGATTCCAGGGGACTGCGGGGAGGGCAAGGCAGGGTATGCCAAGACCAGGGTACAGCCTGAGAGGGCGCACGGACTCCCAACCCCGCTTCTAGTGCCTGGGCCATGGCAGCCTGGCGGTCTCCTCTGGCCATTGTCTACACTAAGGCCCAATCGCTCTGTCGGAAGAAGCCGATTATAGTACGATGAGACTACAGAAAGCCAAGAAGTCGCAAGGCGCAGGAGCAACCCTCCTCGCCCTATGAGACGCTGCCCTG